CCCCGACCCAGAAAGTCCACTTGAATCCTAAATCGAGCTGTGCTGGCCGACACGTAGAAGGTGACAAAGCCATAAAATGTGGTAGAGTGTAGAAAAATGTGAATAATTTGAACCTAAATTTTTTTAATAACAGAGTGCGTTGTGAGTGGGAGTGAACCCATTTTACACACGATACTAAAGCATAAGTAAGGTACAGGAGTGTGGGTAAGAATCATACCCTCAAAAATATCCATCAATACTAAGATTTGCCACAGATCCTTGTCGATACAAATTCAGCAGCTAAAACCTGGAGGGCACCAAACAGAGAGTGTGAGTAAGCAATAAAACCAAGCTTCCCAAAGTTATTACCTCTCTAAAAGTAATGCCCCTAAATGTAAAACCCGTATCGTTTTCCATAAGACAACACGACATATATACATATATCCAAACCATACTCAGAAATGGCCAAAACCACGGTTTGCCATCAACTCCACCATGCAATAATAAGTAGGCCAAATGAACTTAATCAATACAAAATGATATATCAGTCGGAGTCATCTAATATGACATGTACAACTTATCCATATCTCATCAATCATGGCTAGCATATAAGTCGGAGTTACCAATAATGACATGTACGACTTATTCATATTTCATCAATCATGGCTAACATATAAGTCGGAGTCACCTATAATGACCTGTACGACTTATCCATATCTCATCAATCATGGCTAGCATATAAGTCGGAGTCACCTATAGTAACCTGTACGACTTATCCATATCTCATCAATCATAGCTAGTAGTTGGAATCACCTATAGTGACATGCATGTACGACTTATCTATATCTCATCAATCATGGCTAGCATATAAGTTGGAGTCACCTATAATAACCTGTACGACTTATCCATATCTCATCAATCATGGCTAGCATATAAGTCGGAGTCACCTATAGTGACCTGTACAACTTATTCATATCTCATCAAACATGGCTAGCATACAAGTCGGAGTCACCAATAGTGACTTGTACGACTTATCCATATCTCATCAATCATGGCTAGCATATAAGCCGGAGTCAGCTATAGTGATCTGTATGACTTATTCATATCTCATCAATCATGCTAGCCAATAGCTCAATAAGTATACCTGCACACGAGTCGGAACCACCTAAAGTGGTTTGTACGACAAGACTGGGTGTAAATAAATACGCTCAAGTGCTACAATCACGTGAAGACTGTGCGAAGAATCGCGGGTCACCTATGAGTCGAAACCACCTAAAGTGGTCTGTACGACAGGACTGTGCACCTACTTTGGATCCAAGGTGAGCGTAAGGTGCGGGAGGTGAACATCACGTGAAGGACTGTGCCCTGGCCACGGGCGGGAGCATTAACACCGGGGTGCAGGTTTATGAGCTATATTATATCTCAACACAATCATACTCACTAACATCACTAACATTAACATGTACTCACCTGAGGCTTACCTGGGCCTCTGCGGCGTCATATAGCACTTCAAAGCATTCACAATAGTCAGGTCCAGGTAATATCCATATGAATATGCCATGATGCAATCTAAACGCAAACATTTCATGATATTCCCAAAATATATAATACGGCGTAACATGTACAATCAATAACACCATATTCCCAAACTATTTACTTTTGAGGGTAATCATTAGTGATAAGCCCAATTGGACCCTAGTTACATTAACTATCATACTTACCTTTCCATACTTCAATTTCTTGATTCTTCGCGCATTGATTTATGATCAACATTTAATCACCAAATCATAAAACTAAATCTCACAATTCCCCCAATGTCCCTCATATTGCTCAATTCACTAAACAATGCTATTGTCTCAATTATTTAATCTCATTTATTATATGGCTGCATCTAACGTCTTGTTAGACTGGCTACGTACCCCAAACAGGGATCAAGCTATTCGTAGTTCGCAATGATTAATTGTAGGTAACAAGCATAGATCATTATAGAAGTGCTTGTGTAACTATCAATTATATGCCTATGAAAGAAAAAGATCCACTCACCTGGAGTCCACGCTTTGATTATATTGCACGCATATTGAGACATCACGATCTATCGTTGCCTGTGACCAATTATCAAATCACGTCTCAAAGTTCTTACCGATAGAACACATAATTTACATAAAACATATCCTCAAGGACCTTCAAGAATAATTTGAGACCCATTGACCAAAAGTCAACCGTTGATCAAAGATCGACGGTAGGGTCTACAACCCTGTCTAACTCGATTCGAAAGATTCACAAATCAGATTTCCAATATGTAACTTCCAAAGATCCACATTATGCTTCTAGAATAACATATTAAAATTTTATTACGATCCAACGGTTGGATCCTAGCCAATTCCCAAAATTGATTAGCGGTTAACGTTTTACTTTATGAATTTACAAATCCAATTCGGAAAGATCTGTACATCAGAGTCCCAATCTGTAAGTTCCTACATTCTTCAAATATTATGTACTACAAAGTAACAAAGTTTGGTGACGATGCAACGGTTGAATCGTCGATTCACATAAATACCTATTAACATATCGTAGAGAATTTAGGTTCCAACGATCAACCTACATCATTCAAATATCAAGACTAAATTCAAGACATTTGATATAGCCTAAAAATAGCATTGGCGGCCCATTGGCCACGCGCCACCACGCGTGGCGGTCGGCCGCCCCGACTCGCCGGAAAATCCAACTATTTCCAAAAATTCTCAAACTTCACAGAAATGAAGATCTCAGTGAGTGGAGCAACTTTCATACCTTCCATGAAGTCCAAAAGTGGACGGAAGATGGTCAATTTTTCCCACAAAGCCGGCAGGTAACTAAAACTTCCCGACGTCGATTCGTCGTCTACGGTGGTCCAATGGGGTCAAGGTTGGTTGGGTTTTGCTTCTGGGATGATGGGCTACAAAGCCCAAGTGGTGGCATCGGCCATTGCTTTGCAGATTTGCCGGAAAATCGAAAAGGGTGGCCGGAGCACTATTGATTTTTGTCAACTTTCGTGGCCTCCAACCGCCACGTACCATGGTTAATCAAGGTGGTTCTTGGGTGAGTTTTGTAGAGGGGAATGAGAGCTTCAAGATGGTGGTGATGGCATCGAAAAATTCCAGCGGAATTGGCCGGAATCTGCCTTGAAAGATGGATGGTCAGAAAGGTGTACGAACATAACCCACTGGTAAAGCTCCCAGCTTTTCCCCCCCTTTTTTTTTTTGTTTTTCTCTTCTTTTCTTCCTTTTTTTTTGATTTCTCATTGGTCCTCCACCCCTTTTAATTTGATTGGTCCCTTTTCCTCTTTACTTAAGACTGATTAGTTAGTCTTCCCGCAAGGTGGGAGTTCAAATAATTTAACTACCTTTAAATAACCAACTTTAAACATCTGTAATTACACCGTTATAATTCGGACTCGCCAACGACTTTCGCCTATACGTTCGTAGTGAAAAGTACTACAAGGATATGCTAAAAGAATAAATCATATGTCGCTCTAACCGATGATCAATGGAAGTCAAAGTCTTTGCCTCTAGGGTATTTTCATAAATTTACGCATCTAAAATTAATAAAAATGTAAAATTTGGGACGGGTTGTCATATTGGAGATGTTAAATTTTAAACATAAATTTAAATTTGACAGATATGTGGTATTTTGACATTTTTTTTAAAGTTTTGCTCTTCATTCGATAGGTCAAATTTTAAACATAATATAAAATTTCATATTTATTTTCTTTGCATTTCTAATGAAAGAAAACGAACTAAAAGGTATAAAAATATTTAAACATTGCATTGGTAATGAAAAGAAATTAAAAGGCAAGACTTTAAACCAATAAAAAGTATTTAATAATTAATTAAAAAAATAAAGTTTCTGTCAAATTTGGCAGCAAGGGGAGAGATGCCATTCCATGTCATGCCACCTCATAATTGGCTTTTTAGTTTGAAAAATATTGACGTTGTCTTTTTTTATCGTTATTGCTTATTTGGACATTTTGACATCTTCTTTAGAGATGCTCTTATGCAAAATAATTACTCATTGCTAACTGTGATTTTAAGTTATACTTAAGATTCATCACCATTGTTTGAAAAATTCCGGCTAGCCACTGGCCCAATTAGTCTCTAGGCGTTTGAAAATTAAAAAAGTGGGCATACACTTACTTAGGCTCTGCCTAGCCCGCTTATGTCACGATTCTAACTTAGATAAAAAATCGATAACTTTCATTTTGCATTTTAATTTTTTCAATAAAATGTAAGAGATTTGTTGAATTCATGGATAAACACTCATTACATACTTATTCCCCATGTTTTCAACAAGTTCTAATACTTTATAATTTATATGTCATATTTTTTGCAATTTATGTATCTTAATATAATTATGTGTGTTTTTCAAGTATAAATAGATATTTATTCATACAATATATAATAAATTTACTTAAATCTGCCTAATTCTCCGGTTAAGCCCTGCCCAACCGCCTAAACGCTAGACTTTGGTTCGTTGCTCGACTAACGTCTATCGTTTTTTAGAACCTTACGCACTATTTTGGTTAGGGTTGGAAATCTTTTCAAAATCTAGTGGAGGTTGAGTTTTCATGAACCGTTGTAATTACTAATTGGACTCAATACATAGCCAAACGAATTTTGGGAAATTTGGAAAAGTACGAAATTATGGAAATTGACTAAGGTAAAAGTAAGAAAAAGGAAAAAGAAACGGACAACCCGACCCAAAACGTTGTCGGTTCCTCTCCCCGCCTTTGCCGACATGATCATATCTCAACAGCGCATACGTGGCATCTCCGTGTCAGTTAATCTACCCGTCGGCACGAACTATAGAATTTACACAAAACGCACACTCACTGTCGGATCCAACTGTCTACTAAATCAACGGCTAATAATACTCGTTTCCAATGAGGACTCTAGTCTCTAGCTCACTTATAAATGGTGGACACCGCTAGGCGTGATGTTGCGTCTTGCGATTGTGAACTCTTTGAGTGTTATCCGTTAAAGATTTTTTTTCAGAAGAAATAATGGGAGGAACGATGGAGGAGCAGCTGAAGAAGGAGGAGGCAGAACCGTCTCTGCCGGTGGAGCCGCCTCTAGCGGTTGAGCCTCCGCTGGCTTCGGCCCCTAGCGACGTCGCGGTTGCGGAGAAGGCGGCTGTGGTCCCGCCGAGTGATGTGGATGTTAAGGGCGGTGATGATGTCAAGGCTCTCGCCGTAGTTAACAGTAAGTGAAGTCTCTGCGTTTCTCTCCTTAGTTAAAGCAGTGAACAGTAAAAGGTAAAAACTTTTGTAGCGCATTTGTGGTGAAATGTTTTTACTTTTTTAACAGAGGTTCCGGAAACTCTGGTGAAAAAGGCATCAGGAGGATCAATTGACAGAGGTGAGTAATTGATGTTAATTTGAAGTTGTGAATTGATGTTCCATCTGAAGTTTGATTATGTCCTCGACTATTATAACACTTGAATTAGTAACGCTGATCGTCACAACTAAAAATTTCATGTCAATTTGTTTTAAATTTCAGATATAGCACTTGCAGGACTGGAGAAAGAAAAGAGTATGTCTTTTATCAGGGCATGGGAAGAAAGTGAAAAGTCTAAGGCAGAGAACAAGTAAGCGTTAATTTCTCACTCACCTTTAGAGGGCGTGTGAGAAATAAAAATAGATGTTGGATATCACTGCTGTTTTTGTTAATGATTTTTTTTATATGCGTTAATGTCTTTCTACCCACAAAATATGTATGCCATGATTTTGGATTCCTATAAGTCAAGTGGGATAATTGGATTTAGAATATGGTTGAATTGTACTAATTAATTTGAGGAACATAAATAAAAACTGTCTAGTTAACCGGAAATAAATTCTTGCAGTCGCTTGTTAGTCTAGGGTTGTGTCTGCCGCTGGCACCAAAGTTCGAATTCTTCTAAATTAGAGTAGTTTAGAATAGAATATCACCTTAGAAAAGACGGGAAGTGAATTCTTTATTCTTTATATATGAAGATATTGGGCCACTTACTACTATGATTCAGTGGTATTTCTCTTCACTGGTAAGTGAGAGGTCTTAAATTTGATTCCCGCAAAAGACGAAGTTGAAAGGTCTTAAGTTCGATTCTCGCCAAAAACGAAGTTGAACCACGTTATTATGACAAGCCTATCGTAAGGCTTAGCCCACTCCCTCACCCTCTTAGCGTCCATACTATCGTGTTTTCAAAAAAAAAAAAACATTGTGTCAATGCTTCTTCAAAAGAAGAGCTGCATCTTGTGATAAGTTTGATGATGTTGTTTTGTGGGCGATCCTTTTCTTCCAGTGGCTTATAAAACTGTGAATGCAGGGCCCAAAAGAAGCTTTCTGATGTTACTGCATGGGAAAGCAGCAGGAAAGCAGCTGTGGAAGCCAAACTCAGAAGCATCGAGGTAGACCATTTGTTTTTGCACTTTGTTCTGGGTATATCCGTGGAATGTTGGATTTTATGGTCCATCCAACACCCCATTTTTAATATTATTTCTTGATTAGAATGCTGGAACGTGGGATGGTTTGCTATTTTTATTGATTTCCTGAGGACAATTTCTTAACCTGAAAATTATACACACTTAAAATTAAGTTCTGTTTTGCAAGTTCGGATCCCGCTCCCCGTAGTTTAAAAAAAAAAAGAGCAAGAAGCACATTCTCTTTACTCCATGAAACAAGGCATTTCAGTTTAATTCAACTTTACCAATGTCAATGGTCAATTGGTATTCAGGAACAATTGGAGAAGAAAAAGGCACAGTATGCAGAAAAAATGAAAAACAAAGTTGCCTTACTTCAGAAACAAGCAGATGAAAAGAGAGCAATGGTTTTAGCCCAGAAAGGGGAAGAACTTCTCAAGGCTGAAGAGACCGCTGCTAAGTACCGTGCAACCGGAAGCATTCCAAAGAAGTTCCTCAGTTGCTTTTGAAGTAGTGCTTTGAGCCGGTTTCTATGTAACTTCTGGGTTTTGTCATGTGTATATCTTTCTAGTTTGCTCTTTTTGCATTTTGGGGTTCGAGTTGATTTGTTCATTGTGTTCTTTAAATTATATGAAAACCGATACAAAATCAGCAACTGTTCTTACTCGTCTGTGTGTGTATAGGAAGTCTATTTGACTTGTGAATTCCAAGTTTGTTATTTGTTTCAGAAAGCTTTTTCTAGTAATGGGATAATTCCACACTATTCATCTTTCATATTCTTACCTTGTATTTTCTTCATGTTTTATAAGATCTTTGTTTCACTCTGCTGATTGTTTACGGATTTCTTTCTGTTTTATAAGATCTTTGTACTAGCTCTTGGCAGCGCTGATGGATCTACAATTTTCTTGTGCGGTAAGTCGGAAGATTTACATTCATCCCTAAAACTGTTTATGAACTGTGTTTTTCTTAAAACTTAAACCACTGGATTCTGCAGTTTACACTAAGTTGCTAGCGGATCCAAACTCAGAATCAGGCGGAACACATATAACAGACCAGGTCAGAATATTAGTTGGCCAAACACCAAGTGAGAAATAACAAGCTTATAAAAGGAATCAAAGAATTTAAGGCTGAGTACATGGAGAAAATACTTGCTTACATCTTTTCATGCAATGAATCTCTCACATGTCCGCGTAGGCAATGGGAACGAGTCTCACATATGCTCTACCTTGCGAGTGGCAAGTGAGCTTATGTGCAAGAGACACGAGTGTAGGCAAGTTTTTCTCGAGCTCTAGTGTGCTCTTAGACCATTGAATGGTATGATGATGTTGCAGATTACAGAATAACAAAAAAACATGGAACGCAGTACATATTAGCATCTAAATTACATATGCCATTAGAGACGAAGTAAGCAAGATTTAACTAGTTAATTATGTCTCAAACGACTGAGGAATCTCTATGTACTATATATACTGGATCCTGAACAAACTAGGTTTGTTGTGGAAACCCTACTAACTGGTAACAGCACTGCCGCTAACTGTAAGCCAAAAATTAAGCACAGGACCCTTCATCTTAGCTCTCTAACTAAATCGACGGCTTATACAAAACCACCACCAAAAATTCGAGCAGCAGTTCGAATACAAGGAAGTTTCGACGCCTGATTCAGAGGGGGCAAATGAAAGAATTGGGCGCCAACCTCGCAGGGGTTGTTGCGTAGTCATCCGCATTGTTTTCTAAGAAGCTCATGTCATCGTTAATTGGGTAATCCAGGAGCAGCTGTAGTGCAGTATCCGATGAGTTCTCCAAATCATTTGAGCACGAGGAGACAGACCCCGCCATCCTGTCTTCAGTGTTAGACTGGCAGATCTTGAATTCCCCTGCTTCGGTGTTGGACTGGAAGAGTTTGTACCCTTCCTCTTCAGTGTTGAACTGGAAGGGTTTATATTCTACATCTTCAGTGTTGATCAAGAAAGGTCTGTATGCCAAATCTTCATTTTGATTGCCTGCCATGGTTGGTGACCCTGTTAAGTTGTTGCCAACTTCTGTTGTCACGGCTGACAGCAATCCACATTTGGTCGACGAAGATGCCTGAGAAATGGGGCTTTGGCACACAAATTTATCCGACGTAAGCTTTCTGAATGATTTTCCAACATTGGAGTTCCACAAGCGCAGAAAATGGTCAGACTCAGATTTCTCTGGAGCATGGCTGAAGAGTGATGACTCCCTGGAAAGCCTAGCCTCAGCTTCAAGCCTGGCACTCTCCCATTGTGCCATGTGACGAGTGGCCGCGGAAGCAGATGCGTTGTGATTTAAGCAGTTAGAGGCAAGAAGCTCATGTGTCTGTGGATCAATCCCCATGGCGATAAGGCGCTTCCTCAGGTGCGTGTTCCATAAGTTCTTGATCTCATTGTCAGTTCTTCCAGGCAACTGAGAAGCTATGGTAGCCCACCTGAAAATTGTTCGATACAAGTGAAAAAAGAGTTAGAAACAGGACAAAGTTTCTACAACAGATTAACTGCATATAAGACATTTTCATCTGTTTACAGAAGTAACGCAGGTTTGATTTTCTTTGTGGACTTAATGTCCCGTGTGGTTCAACACAGTTAATAAAGAGTAAATCAGTTTTAAATCTCCGAAAACAGTGTCTCACGGCTAAAAAGGAAGCAGAGAAGCACAATATACCACCTGTTTCCGAGCATGCCATGAAGCTGTATGATGAGTTGCTCTTCGTCCTTGTTGAAGGGGCCTCGTTTGATTTCCGGCCTGAGATAATTTATCCACCTTAGCCGGCAGCTCTTCCCACAGCGTTGAAGACCTATTGAAAAAAAAAAACCACGGTAGATTGGGTAACATGAATTTTCCCACTTCCTAGGATGTTTAAAGCATAATATCCAAGAAAAATTAGCATTATAATACACTTTTTTTCTTCTGCAAACCATATAAAATGTTAGCAGTGGCATGCTCCAAAACCACTAGACATTTTTCTCTCCTTTTAGAAGGATTATATCTGTATTTTTTTTTCTCAATAGTGTTAGAAAGGGGGGAAATGTTCAGATTCAGCATGTAAGAGGAAAATAAGCACAATTTTAACTCATGAGGAAAAGAAGAAAAGAACATGGATAAAAGTAAGAAATTTTTTTATTACAGATGCTACCAACTTATCAAAGTGGAACAAAATTTCAATTAGCTCAAGAGGCGAAAGGGGTTGGGACCAGAATCTTAAAACCCATCACTCACAGTCCCTCTAAAGCTGAACAAATAAACTATCTGGCTCGGTAGAGATTATATAGGAAGAAAAGAGAGGCACTATTTGCTTCACACGAAAACAAAAGCACGTTTCTTTGACTTGAGAAAGCAACAAAATCAAACAAAACCAACTTTTGGCTTTTGGGTTTCAAAAAGGCAAGAAACTTTGCGCTCAAAAGGCAGTATATTTTTTAAAAGGAAAACGTTAAGAAGAAAATTTTCTTATACAAAATTTGCAAATCAAATAGTGTTTTACTAAAAAAATAACTACATTAATCAACATTTGATAATTTAATTATCATTAACCATATCATTTGTTTTTTTTTGGTTGTAAACTCCATATCATTTGGTTTTGGTTTAAAATTTAGAAGAAAAGTAAGAAAAACCCAAATGAACCTGCAAGCTTGGGAAGAGAACGCCAGCTTCCGTGGCCATGGTTCTTGCTGATGTAGTTCAGAAGAAGCTCATCTTCCTCAGGCGACCATGGCCCTTTCTTCAAGTCCTTCTTGTTGTCACAACATGGAGTCCTTCCCATATCTCTCACACCCTTTTAATTCCCAACAAGAGAGAGAGAGGGGTAGAGAGAGAAACAACCACCAACCACCACCGCCACCAGTGCGCCACTCACCAAACACCAACAATAAAGGTCCCAAGAATAAGAAAAACCGAATTTAAAGCCCCCCACAAAAGACTTGATCTTTGATGTGAGAGAGAGAGAGAGAGAGAGAGAGAGAGAGAGTTAATGCTGGAGGGGTTTGGTCTCTATCTGGAGAAGGAGAAGGGGAAAAGTGATGTTCTAATAAAAATTTATAAAATTATGAATATGGGTTGTCTGAAAGGCAAGGGAAAGTACAAGCTCAGCGAGCTTCAAGCTGTCTTCACATTAAATTCCTGGCGTTTGGTGGAGAGAGAGAGAGAAAGATGATCATTGATAGTGAGAGACATTGGCCCCAGACAGTGAAATTAAGCAGCAGAATTTAATGGTGGGATTTCTCCTTTTGAGGTTTGCATTTACACTCAACTGGAAAGAGAGAAAAGCCAAATGCAGGGAAGATGATGGTGAAAACATTTATGTTGGATTCTCACACAGAAAGACAGTGTGATCCATTTATTTTAGAGAGAGAGGACTTGGTCGGCATTAATGTCAAAGACATTGACATGCAGTCTGCAGAGTACGGACATGCATGATATGACTCCTGGATTTGCATTTACCTCTATATTTTTTTTTCTCAATTTATAAGAAATTTAAAAAAGAAAAAACAAACCCTCTAGGCGTCTTAATGCAAATTGATGCCCACGAGCATCTCCAAATAGGACAAGGATCATCTCCGACTTCTTTTTGTGAGGATTTGAAGATCAATTAATTGTATTTGTTCATCGTACATTATGTGGTCAGTTTTGATTAGGTATCTGTATTCAATTTTAAATTTAAAATAATTTTTAACCGCACGATGTACGATGAACGAACATGATTGATTGATCATCCGAATCCTCACAAAGAAGATCAGGAGAGGATCCTATTCCCTCCAAATGAGATGTCAAAAGGTCCACATCATCAATAACAGTAAAAAACAGCACTATAATGTCAAATCCTATGTGGCATGACATAGAAAGAACGGAATGGGTTGTTGTAACATTTGACAGCAGCTTCAAATTATTTTTATTAAATTTTTTGACCTATCCTGCTCTATCCATCTTTTTGCCGAACCAAAACCAAGCTCACAATTTGCAATCACAAAGAAAATCTTGATTTTCCATCTATCACACTCTGTGGCACAATTTCGACTAAAATTCATCACTTTCAGAAAACCTCAAAACTAAAAAAAAAAAAAAAAAAAAAAAAAAAAACCCTAGTCTCTACCAAATGTGAATCCAGCACCTCCATAATGCGCGAATGCCCAATCCAACTCACAAAAGATGACTAACACCAAAGACGAACCAGGTGGAAGCAATAACGGCGATGGTGGAGGCGGATTTCATAGAGTGCAAGCAGAGCGTGACCTAGAATCCAATTGGGAACTCGATATCATACAAAAACTCGAAGAGTATCCAGGTAGAAGCAACAACAGCAGTGGTGGAGGCGAATTTTATAGAGTGCAACTAGAGCGTGACCTAGAATCCAATTGAGAATTTGATCTCGCACAAAAAACTCAAAGAATATTTGTTTGAGTGGATATTTAATGTTGGGTTTAGTGTGATTGGAGGCCCTAGAAAGCAAAAAGTAGAAGGAGGATTGGGCTCGGACAGTTGGCAACCCAGAAAGAATTGAAAATCATTTCTAGCCAAGAAATAGGCAACAAGCCTATATGAGAAATGACATACAGAGGGTAGCTCACCCCTAACAAAAAGTACTTTTCAAGGGCATGTATAGGTAAATAAATGGTGACTCACCATACTCCGGAGGCCATCACCAAAAAGGGAAGGCTTGGACAGTCGGGCTAGAAAGTCTATAAAAGCAACAAATGATACAAGGAAGAAGGATACTCAACCAATCAATCAAAAGACATCCAACTTTGCACTCCAACAGTCAAGAAACCAGAAAGCTTTAGTTTGTTCAAACTTTACCCTTTAGTCGCATGTCCAACATAGAAAGCCATCTTTTGTCAAGTTTTTGAAGCTTTGCTATCTTCCCCTTGTATTGTAGTATCAAATCCCTTTAGTAAACCCTATTTATATTTTCATTCTCCAAAGATTACAACCCTTGTAAAACACAAAGAGAAGTGGTTGCAAGAAGACGAACATTGCCTGACAAAGGTCATGATCTTGCTCGAGTCTCTTTTGTTTATACTTACATAAAGTAGATCTATTGTTTTATGCATCTTTCATTGTATCCTATATCATTTTCGACTGCTTTTTGTTCAAAGTTTCATCTATGATTAATCTTGCTGAACTAATTAACCTTACTGCTTTAGTGTTAACCAAAACCAAAGAAATAATTGGAAGGGCCTTGAACTCCCTTTAATTGGACATATGCTAGTATGAGTAATAGTCCTTGTTTACAAGGCAAGAAAAAGAACTTTATACAAACACTGCACTGACCATAGTAAACTCCCTCTCAAAGTAACCTATCTGTAAACAATCCAATTGAACTAGGAAGTCTAAATAACTTGTGGTGCAAGTAATCAACCCATTTAATAACCAAAAAAGCAATCTGTTATACAAAGATAACGGTGGCATGATCAAACCCATATAGTTTTGCTTGTGAGCCTCAATGCCTAAAAAAGGCCCCACAAAGGCATCATTCAAACTAATAACAAACTCATATTGCAGTACACCAAGCAGCAAACTTTGCCCGACAGGCAAGATCCAGGGGAGTTGTGCGAGGAACAGATCTAGCTCGAACAGTATTTGCTCTGGTGAAATATGCAAAAGGCAATGTTGCTGTTATTTTTGCAGAAGGTGTTCCTTTTGCTTCAAACTACTATTTTTTTCTATTAATTTCATAGAAAAAAAAATATAATGTTTCTTTAAAATATAAAATAGAAATAAAGAAAAGAAAATAATGTATTAAAATAATAATTTAATTTGACAGATTGGGTGGAGCTAAAAAATTTAAAAGATGTTAAAGTACCAAGGGAGATGTTAAAATAACAATTTAATTTGAGATATTGTGCATATTTAATATAAAAAATCTTTCTAACTAAAGTGTTATTTGCTGACTGAATTAAAAGACTTCGTGATTAGGAGTCAAATTTAACATCAATGTCAAATTTATTTTTGATTAATTTTAATGGTGAGTCATTTATTCCACTAACATTCCAACCAATAAAAATTTTGTTTCAACATTTTTTGCAATAATTACAACCATTTAAAGCACTATTTTAATAAGAAAATAACATTTGACAACTTGGTTGGAGAAGTATAAAATTTGACATAAGACTTCTGTTGGGGCCCAAAAATGTCACACACTAATCCAACCAAGTCTCAAAAGCTAATTGTCATGTAAAGCCTACATTCAAGCCCAAACACATGTCAAGGCACGAGATCGACGAGGAATATATTTACAAACAAGCCATGCCACGGTGATTAAACCGGATATCACGCCATGCTCATGCTTATTCATCATGCCATGCTTCCTCATGCTAGTCATTATTCATGATAAGCCTAAGTCACATATTTGGGGCTTATCAAGTGGATTATGGTGTGATGGTTACAGAAGGTTATTGGGCTTACGTGGAATCGGGGTCATGGAAGACTTTGGGCTACTTGGGAGCCCAAAGATCCAAACCCATACCCTTTGCATTTCATGTAGGCATCATTGAGAGAGAACTAGCCTAGTTTACCTCTTTCCCTAGCAAGCCAACCCCCTTAGTTAGAACTAAACTAGATTCATGCATTTAATGTATACTAAGCCTAGCAAGTCAGGCATTAAATGTTGACTTTCTTTTCCCAGCTTACACAGACAACCAACGAGCGAAAGCCATGAAGCACGCTACCAGAAGTAGAGTCTACAGAAGGCCGCCCTGGGAAGGCCGCGACTCGAGAAGAAGCAAATTGCAGGTTTCAACAGTGCAACTACCTTACTCCAAAACGGGAATAATAGTAGTGAAAGGGAGAAATGAGGGGAAGACCAAGCCACAAAGGGAGATTCCCTTGAAACCTAGAGATGAACCCTTCACTTACATAAGGAGGGAGAAACCATTACATATTTTTGGGAGGGGGGAGAACACATAGAAGGTAACACAAAGAGAGATAGAAGAAACACAGGGAGATAAAACCACCCAGGAAGCAACCTTAGAGAATTCCATTTAGCCCAGAAGCATACTTGTAAGATCCCACATCGTCCAGGGGAGTGATCCTTATATGTATATTCCCATCCCTACCTAGCACGAGGCCTTTTGGGAGCTCACTGGCTTCGGGTTCCATCGGAACTTCGAAGTTAAGCGAGAAGGGGGCTAGAGCAATCCCATGATGGGTGACCCATTGGGAAGTTGCTTGTGAGTTCCCAAAAACAAAATCGTGAGGGAATGGTAAGCCTAAAGCGGACAATATCGTGCTACGGTGGTGAAACGGGCCCGGGAAGTGATCCTCCCTGGGCCGGGATGTGACAATTGGTATCAGAGCCTAACCCTGGTCGTGACAATTGGTAAGCCCAAAGCGGACAATATTGTGCTACGGTGGTGAAGCGGGCCCGGGAAGTGATCCGCCCCGGGCCGGGATGTGACAATTGGTATCAGAGCCTAACCCTGGTCGTGGTGTGCTGACGAGGACATTGGGCCCCTAAGGGGGGTGGATTGTAAGATCCCACATTTCCTAGGGGAGTGATCTTTATATGTATATTCCCATCCCTACCTA